GTAGGTCAGTTATCGTGAGGGTATCCCGCGGTTGAACTCCAATTCGCTGTATGAAGCCATGCAGGCATGAACCCCTGAAAGGCAGTGGTGTTATTGGTCAGGTCGCATTGACTGTATGATTTACTTTTGGGGAACCGGCCGTGGGGCTAGCCTTGCCCAACCAGTTCATATCCCTGGTGGTTTGAGTGAAACCAACCAGAAAAACAAGCCATTTCAAGGGCCCTGTTGAGAAACACCCATTTCCACAGACAAACGCCCTTGCGGGCAAATGTTCTGGAGCCTTGGGGCTAGATCTGACCCTCCTGATACTCTCTCTCTGATGATTTGTTTTGCCGCAAAAGCGAAACACGGATTTGATTGCAGCACTGAAGACCTCGCATGAAGGCTTAAGAAGCTTCACTGTCGTCCCGTTAACCCAGACATGATGATAGGCACTCCAAGTTTTCCTTTGTTTGCAGGTCTCCTGACGTCATCAGCACGTTTGGGCGATGGCCCTGCCTAGCCTCCAAGCCACAATTGAGACGGCGTTCTGTCCATTTCCCCAGACCAGTGGTGACCTATTTCTTCCTTTTTTTGGAGGGGGGGTTCCCTTGAAAAATTGGCTAACTCAAACAAGGGTAATTACCATTTTTGTCCCATGCAAATCCACTGTGGGTCTACAATGGATCTTCTCAGATGCTTCTATTTACAGCAAGTGCTGAGTCGGGGAGTGCGCCCGCACCCCACTTTTCGGTGCGTATCCTTTCGCGGGAACGATTAGTTCCCGCCCCACCGGCGGAAGAACCCACCAATCGTTTTGATAGAGCCCTTGTTCCAAGCAAGAACTGTAGTGAGGTTTGACAACTCACTGATTTGTTGTGATGATCATTTCAATGGTTTTGGCGCCAAGGTCAACAGAGGAATAAGAACGGTTCTGGCGATGGAAGTGGTAGTGGCAATGGTGACAGTGGCTGCAGTGGTTGTGGTTGTGGTTGCGGTGGTGATGGTGGCGGTTGTGGTGGCGGCGGTTGTGGTGGCGGCTGAAATTCTGGTGAACGTGGTGCTGGAAATAGCGCTAGAAGTGGTGACCAGTTGCAGGCATAGTTTGCCCATCGTTGTTTGAGGGGTTGTAGAGCTTGTGGCTGTTTCACACCGAACGGGGAAATTCCTTTTGCAACATAAGCAGTTGTCATGTTCGATCTGACTCAGATCCAGGGCTTCGGCCATTCCCGAACCTAGGCTACCCCCCTCAAACAAACGTACTGCATCTGCTTATGTTGTGTAGCACATGTCGCCGCTTGGTCGGTTACCAAGTGGAACACAGTCCCAACTTTCCAGTCGCTTTGGCCGCTGGCTTGGGGAACCAAAGTCACTCTGCGGGAACCACATTTTGGTTCAGAGCATTCCCAACTTAGAGACATCTCCATCGTCGCATCCTCAGGGTCAGCAGCAAGGATTCGGCGCCTTGGCGAGAGGAGGGGCTCAGGGGCTCAGGGACCCGCAGTCCTGGCCGGCTTAACGTGTGGGTCAAAAGGGATTTGGACCCTCCAAACGGTTTGATTCCCCTTTAGCCGTGAACCCCAAAAAGAGCACCCATTTGGACAACTTAAAACGAGCTCACCAGGGGGTAAAGTGAGCTCACCCACAAGGGGTCAAAGGGAGTCTCCAGGTACCTCTCGTTGCGCTTTGATTTCGGCAGTGCAGGGGGGCTTTGTTCGGAGTGCCTTCCAAGGGGAAATTGACATGCCGTGGAGGCTCGAGCATGTTTGAACACCTGGAGAGGTGTCAATATAAACACGGAGAGAGTTCACCTGCAGATCTTTGTGGCAGCGCGCTCGCTGTGTTCAGCCTGTTGGCCACATTTATCATTCTCCTGCAAAGAGGTCCCGCGAATCCACGCACCGCTGTGTTTTTGGCAGACCTGCGGTGGACCTTCCGCAAAGGCTTGGGACGACGTGCGGTCCCTGGTGACGTCCATGGAGGGTCGCCGCATCCGGCTCGCGGGGGAGCATACGCACGACGAGCATCAGGCAGATTGCGTTGTTGGTGTCGTCTTACAGCCAGCGAGTTACCTCCCGTTTTGAAAACGTCCAGCATCGCCAATCCCAAATTTCACCTTTTTTCGGTTCCTGAAGCGAACAAATGGCTGTGGGTCAAAACCAATAGGATCCCATTTTGGTTGGTAGGTGAATTCACCACCCGTGTTTGCATTGAGCGCCGGATGCTCTTGCGCTTCCAGGGTGGCTTTCATGCCGCTTACCTCTCCGGCCTGCGGGCCGCCGAAGAGATCTTGGAAGGCAGGGTTTGCGCATGGACGTCTTTCGGGCAGTGTTTCTGGTTGAGGGACGATAAGATCCACTTTAGGTTCATAGGGCTCTAAAAATGAGGGAAGCAAGTGGTCATAGATGGCGGCATGAATGCCGCCCTCAGTGGTGCGTTTTTGGTACCAGCCTTGAACCCAACGGACGTGCATGAGCGACCCCACATTTCACTGGGAAGCCATGAACATGTTGGTTTCGTCCTTTGAGCCACGCTCAAGCTGCATCTCAGCCGCTCAGCCCTGTTCAAGTCCGTCCCCCCCCTCTCAAATTGGCAGTTCTGCGCTTGATGAGTTTGTTTTTTTCCAACCTGAGAAAGGAAAAGGGCAGCCTTAAAAACACAAACGCCGCGTCGTCAATATGTTTTGCCAAGACGTGCCAAAGGACTGGCACATCTGGCCTGAAGCCATTGCTCGCGGCACCCGATGGCCTCCGGCATAGACCGCCAACAGCAAAATCATGCTGTTTGGGCGCTCAGCCCTGTGCTTGTTGTTTTGTAGGTACAGCATGGCGGACGAGCCGCAGGAACATACGAATATTGTTGCTTTGTAGGTTGAACTTTCGCCGTACTTTGATAGGATTGCAGGCAGCACACAGTTGAATCTGTTGGAGGCTTGATTCATTCATTCTGGCAACGCCCCTCCCCATTTCCTAAGAGCAGACTAACTTTTCACGTGTTGCCCAATGCTTGCCTCCTTCGGCCGCGCCTCGCGCGGGTCAGGTTTGGCCAAAGACGCGTCAGAGCACAAAACAACGCAGCAGCTGTGCAGCTTCTTTGACCGCCTGGTGGGCAGGATGGGACAATGCGTTGAATGAACATAGAGCGCACCCCCCCATACGGATCTTTGTATTGTGAACTTGTGGTTTGTTGGCCCAGTTGCCTAGTGGTGCCCTGGTTTCCTTTTTTGGAAAGTCAACCAACCAATTGAGGGATGCCCCTTTATTTTCTGTGGAAATTTACTGGGCATCTGAGTTGGTGCTGTGGTGACTTGTTTAAGCCGGTAGATGGAAATGGCCAGGGGTGAGTGGTCCTGATGGTTGTGTTGTTGGCGATGAGGCAAAGGCTAGCTCACATAGCTCGGTATATTGATCATGATCATGATAACACAACCAGGATTGTGTTAGCGGTATCTCTGTCATTGAACACGTTTGGAGCCCAACTAGATATTGGCACACGGGCGATATGCCTGTGTTTTCACACAAGAAGCCCCCATGTGTTGTCTCAAGTTTTGTCGGTGGTTGCCACCCAGTCGTTCACTGATATGTGCCTTGTGTGGGTTCCCCAGGAAAGATGGTCAAGTTTAAGGGTTCCAAATCCTTTTGTGCCGGTTTCAACTGGTTTTTGCACTTTGACACCTTGAGGGGTCCAAAAATGGGCCAACATCAAAGATGGTTCCTATAAAACAGACATCCAGCTGAGTTGGGTGTTGCTAACTTTGTGGCAGAGTATTCCAAGGCACTGGCCACTGAGTGATGACTTGAGATTATTTTTTTTTCGTGCGGAGAGGCGCTGCGATTTTTCGCAATGTGCCGCTTTGTCCTAGGCCACTGCGGTAAATCATTGGCCTTGTCAAGATCGGAAGGTTTTTTTTGCAGATTTCTCCTTCTGCTTGAGACATGCTCTTCTTGACGCGCCTCTCGCAGTTGGCTCAGAGACCCAGGGCCCCCCCTCTGGGGGCCCCAGAAAGGGCAGAAGCGTGGCTTCCGGCGAGCAGGCGCGACAGTGACGCTATGGCACCGGACCAAGCATTTGTGGGGATCCTCCTTTAGAACACGCCATTGCACATGTTTCGGTGGGTTCCATTTGGCAGACTTGTACTGATTGGCTGGCTGGTTGGCTGGTGTGCTGGCTGGTTGGCTGACTGGTTGGCTGACTGGCTGGTAGCTTGGGCACATATTGCTCGATTCCACTCTGTCTTTCTGCATTTGTGCGTTCTTTTGAGTCAGCATCGCGAGAACCCTCCTCTTTGCCAGGTCCTGTTCATGAGTAGCTGTGCGTCATGATCAACACCTCCGCTTGGGTGCGTGTTGTTTTGAGGGTACTCCTTTTTGTGGTGGCTGTACGGGAAATCGAAAGGACAACCACCATATTTAGGGTCCCCTATTTTGACACTTGCTGACAATTAGTCGTACACATTGCGCCACTTTGGTATTGCAGAAAGGGGCACAACAGGGGTCCGTTATGGTCCCTCTTTGTCGGCTTTAATCATCGCCTTTTTGGCAAGTTTAAGGTGAGTTTCCATTTGGTGCGGTGACGCAGGAGGATACATTTAGAACCCTCGTGCGTCGGGCGGCACCCTTTGGGGAAGGAGCACCTGGTTTTTGTGCCTGTTCCTGCCGGGTGGTTCTCCTTATCCGTAAATTGTGTGGGCACCCCATGTCTTGTACATCTTGTTGTAGCCACTTCGAGTTAACTTTGACCCCGGATGAATAAACCCCTGTTTATTAATATGGGGGTGTCCCTGATTTTAGTGGGGGGTTTAAATCACTGTTGGAGGGGAACACCCCCATATCGTATAAAACAGGGGTTTGAGCATCCCAATCCCCCACTAAAATAATTAGGTTCTAAAATGGGTGGTGAATTCACCTGCCCCAAAATGGTACCATTGGTTTGGGTTGGACTGGTTTAGGGGGCACCCGAAACCTGCGCAGCCCATTGGTTTTGACAACCACCGCCATGCAGCCGCTTCGAGTTCAGGAGCCATGAACAATGACGACGTCAGCGAGGGCAGCCGCGAGCTGGTGGATCTCAGTGCTGAGGCGTCGAACTGAGCCCGTCTCGTTTGAACTGAGCCCCTGGGATCGCTTCTCGCGTTGCTTATCCCAATCCCTCTATGGGTATGGGGAGCCGCTTCCTGGTTGGTTTAAGGGGAAGGCCGAAAGGAAAACCACTCTTTTTTTAGGGTTCCGCGGTTTGTGAGACACCCATATGGTTGCTCTGATTATCCCAATCCCCAATACATCTTGCATGCGAGAATTATATAACCTGTGTAGTGTTTTTGATGTCCCAACAAGATCATGTCGCAAAACTTGGGAGCCCAGGAGAGCATGTGAATCTGGCGTATCTTCCAAATCCTGCTTTAAGGGTTTGGGGGTGGAGACAATTGGCAAGCACGAGGGGTCAAAGGGCCTGAAAGATCATCATGGGACTTCTCTCCATAATGTCCATCACTTCCCAACGTCCCATGTTCTGCATCACCCAGAATTGTTAGAGCGTAAGGGCATTGACTTAAAGGCTTAAACGAAGCCACTAGATGGATGGATTTGTTTTTAGCCCTCCTATGTTCCCTTATTTCCCATCCAGTGTCCTGCCACGTGCAACCACATTGCCCAGCAATGGGCTACGGCCGCAAAAGCTGTTGCAGGGCAAGCAAGCCACCGGACCCTCCCCATGTGCGCAGCGCCAAAAAGTCTCAGGACAAGGGTTAGTTGAGGGGCTCTCCGAGCAAGGCCTAGCGCGAAAGCTTGCTGCATGTGTGCAGCTTCAGTCTAGCAAGGCTTGCGAGGGAGTGCCGGTCCCTTTTGAACGCAGCCTAGCCGAAGTCCAGAAAGCCGAATTCCGCGAAAGCTCCAATTGCATCATGAAATAATTTCGACAGCTTCTTTGTAAGTCCAACCACTGAAGGAAAAAGGAAAGAGCTTTGCAACCTAGTGCATGTAGATGCCCCGGTTGAGCAATCCCTCCGCGGAAAAGATCCTTTTAAAGCACACGCCATCGAAAGTGAAACGTGTGGCCGTGAAATCATTTGCGACAGGTTTCCGCGAAAGTGGATTGTTTGTGGCGTTTTTGTTTCTTCTTCTTCTTTTTTTTTTGGGGGGGGGGTAATTACTTGCATTTGTTAAAGGAACCCCCGTGGCATCTTGTTTTTGGTCTCAGCTCAAAAGGGATCCGCTCCAAATCGGTGGCCAAACCGTGAGGCCATCAGCTCTTTGGGCATCCACCTCTCGCAGATCGGTCAGATCATCTCCAAGCCGGGGCCCTCGGACTTGGAGCCGTCCCAAAGACGTTGAAAAGGGGGAGGAGTTGCAGCACAAAACCGAGCTAGTGGCCATGCACATGAAATATCAAGATCAATTAAAGCATGTTTCTTTTCTTCTTCTTTTTTCTACATATATAATTATATATATATATTGATATGCTGCATGTACGGATGACCATTGCTTGTTTGTTAATATTGCTTGTGTGGGACGCCAAACAGTTCGATTAGCTTTGCCTTTTTCATGCAGGAAGTTAGTTCTGGAACAAGCTTCAAAAGCACATCACGACGTTTGCGTTGCCTCAGTGGCCAAAGCAAATTGTTTTTTTCTGTTCTCGTTGGAGCTGCAATCGCATCAGGTCAGTGCAACCTGCCGTTTCAGCTGGACTGAGCATGACTGAGCCAACCGAATGCTGAAAATCCCACGTCCCCCGCTCCCTCCGCCGCAGCTGCAGACGCACTGCACGGGGTGCCTCAGGTCCTCGATGCCGCCGAACAAGGGCGACAGAAGCTGCGCCTTCAAGCTCAAGGAGAAGCTGGAGATGTACCAGGCGTGATGCCTCTCCCGGAAGGATCGCGAGCTGAGGAAAGTTTCGAGGGGACACGCCGAGTTGGTATGGCCATGAATCAAAACCAATGGGATCCCATTTTGGGATATATCGGATAGGTGCACCACCACCCATCTTAGTCTATTTTAGTGGGGATTGGGATGTTCACTGGGGGGTACGGGGTTTTGACCCATGGCCGCATCGGGACACAAGAGGCGAACGATGAGTTCACCGATCTTTGGGGGGTCATGCGAAATTCCATCATGATTATTGGGAGAAGATATATGAAGGACAGGCTGTCTCACAGCGAGACAATCGAGCGCGGTGTGAACACTATGTTGAGAGAGCCTGTGTCAAGACAGGGACCCCTTGTTTGGGTTGGAACTGAGAAGGCTTAGCATTTGGAGGGATCCCTGGTTTGCACGCAGGATGAGCCGTTCCATGAAAGGGTCTGAGGGTTTACATGTTCTCATTCCCGATTCCCATGCACAGGGTCTGGGGTAGTGGAGGAGGCAGCTTCCTTGTAGGGTCGTTGGCAATCAATCAGTCTCCTTGAGAGAACCCCACCCATCCTGCGCTCAAGCTGCGCTGCAACAAGTTGGTGTCGCTCCCTCGTTGCTTTGATGTCTGCTCTGTTGCAGTGTTCATATACGTCGTGTACAGAATAAAAATGAAACACAGGCGCTTGGCATTGCAGCACATTCCAAGCAACGGGCTCGCGTATGCAACGCTGGAGGTTTTAAACGCGCCCGTAGGAAGCTCCCTAGGTGGCCGCAGCTCACTGGGACTGGGTGATACGCGACTCGTTTGGTTGAGCCTCTGGAAATGCTTGGCATTTGTCAGCGGGTGCATGTCTACATGGATGTACACATATATTCATGTATATATATATATAGTAAGTATGCATAACCCGGATTTCCCCTAGGTTGGTTTGTGTGAGACATAGAACATTATATGTTGATACAGTCAGCAAGATGTGCTTCGCCGGCTGTCCGCAGCAGCGCATAACTTTCAACGGCACAGGCAACACAATCGAGACTGGAAGCCAAAGCAGAGTCCATGCTGATGAGCTCTATTTGCGAGCCTTCGCCGTTCACTTGTACCTGTCACGAGCAAAAAACAAAAACGCCTTAAGGTCAGCCACGTTTGGCTGGATCAGACCAAGCAAAGCACGCCAAGCCATTGCCATGGGAGCATGGCGCACACCTCTGAGGCGGGATTGGGGACTTAAAGTTATTTTGAGGGGAAGCCGAAGGGAAAAGCAACCCGCATCAAGGCCCCACTGAATGAACATCAATCTAGTTTGGGATTTCCTGCGTTTAGAGACCAACCCACATAGACTGTCACATAGATATACCTAGATGAAAGTTAATGGTCACCATCAATTCAGACTTTATCGCTTGCCACCAGAGGAAATGTGCCGTGGCATGTGCTCACACAACTGATTGTGACGGCAACATGACAATGAACCATGGCATAACACGCTGATTCATCGCAGCAAACTCAGGGGATTGCAAACATGTTACTAGGAGGTAGTACTTAACCACGTGCCAACAAAAAAACAGACACCATCACGGTGCCTTGCTTTTTGCAGGCAACCTTTGGGGAAGGCTTAAACAACAAAAAAACAAAACAAGCCGCATGTAGGCTGTTTCCGGGTGCCAAATCGAGGCAGGTCGTTTGTGGCTTTCTCCATTCGTCTATGGGAGGCAACACGTCTTCGTTTTTAGCTTCACGGTAGATTGTTTGTCTTCCTCTTGCAGGCCCGCTGACTACATGCACGAACATGTTCTGATTGTTTGGATCAATTACTACAGAGAGTTATGGGAAACCTTCATTGTTTGGATGGTCCGCAGTTTCCAAGACCCTTGATAGGAGGTGCCCCAACATGGCTGCAAGGGGTTCAGTAGCGCCTTTTTGTTGCCTTTGGTTTGGCCGGTTCCCGACTAAGCATGCTCAACCCCCAAAAGGGTCCCCTGAAACCAGGGCCATGTGACAAGGGGCAGGAATCCCCCCATACAGGTTCTACAGATCCCTTGTGGTTTCTTTACGTCAACATGAGTTGTCCTGCTTGTCCCATGGCCACTGGGTAGGTAGAAGGTTGAGAGATGGAAGACTTGCAGATATGCCAGATATTGCCAGATATTAGTATTTCAATTATAACATGTCCTGTACTTGAAGGTGATTAAAAAAGTCAAGAAATGGATAGTGGATAGAATGTCCATCCTGTGCCTCCAAGTTCTGAGATTAAAGAAACTGATTTTCGGACAGAGAACTTCTGGAGATCCGCTTCTGGACCTTGAGAGTTACAAAGCCAATCCTCCAATCCTCGCAAGCCAGGCATTACCCCAGCCCAGTGGTGCCTTGTTTTTCCTTTTGTTTGGGACGGGCTCCCCTTTAAAGTCAACCAACCAAAACGATGCCTTTGTTTGCCCATGGCCACTGGGCATTTGAGTTACCACAAATAGGATCATAAGAAAACTCATGCAATATATGTATTGCTTGAAAAATAGGAGTTCCGGTTTTCTGGAGATACAATCTTATTTCCCCATGAATGTACTTATATTGTTATAAGGACTGAGAATAATGTACTCGAGATTCCAAATATAAATCCAGATAGTAAATAATTATAGATTCCTTTGTTCGCGAGAGTCAGGGATGGAGGTGAATGAATGTAGGATGTGAATCCAGAGATAGGAAGGGAACAGTCCGTTCGTTCATCCTACCACTCGCCCAATCCACACCTATCTGGGCACAGGCTACCAATTATTTTGCTCAATTAAGGAGAATGTATATTCAACTCGGTTTTCAACTAGAACTGGACGCGGTCACGGGCACACAACAGTTGTTTGAGTGGCAACACATGCTATGCAGAAACGGTCATGTCTGGTGCATTACATGTTTCTGGCCTTGCACGCGTTGCCGGGTGTTTAGGGACATGGCCATGGCCACTTGAAGGGACATGCTCGTGACTTGTGTTTGTCTGGCACCTGAAGCACGCGTTTGAAAGCTAGCAGGTCACGACCGGCGAATCGATTTTGCATTGGCGCCCGAAGCACATGCTCCGAACGGAGATGGCCACGACTTTGTTTT